AAAAAGTCAGCTCGTAGCAAATTAATGACAAAGAGCTCGATACAATCACCATATTTGTACTGACCCCTTCTGAAGCAGCTACTTAACAGAAGCTTTGGTCCTTATACTGACCGTTGTAGACGCCCAGCACACTGGTTGTGCAGAACGTTTAGTTGTGTGGCTCGGAAGCGAATTGAAGATTGAATGAGTGCGAAACGCATATTTGCCTTTTCTAAAGTCGCTCAAACATTTTATTGTCGACTTTAACCGAGCGATTAGCGTCTATGCATGATTTTAACAAGTTAATGAGCACCGTAACACAGACACAGGCTCTCTTGATCGCCGGAACAAGCTCCGAATTCGTCTCGTACTGCACAGATAGATCTGACAGCTCTAGCTGAGACGGATGCACTCAAACTTAAGCGTATTCAATAATTTGATGCACTAGAACGAAATGTAATGCAAAGTAACTCCGTTTCCGTATTCAGTGTTCTTCTTGAGGCCGTGGACGCCTTTTCCGCTACCGTTAGTACCATGAGGTCCCCACCGCTTGCAAAATAATGGGATATATCGAAGATTGGAAGTGTAGAGTAGCAGTGTCTCGACCACAATGATTTTATAATAAATTAAATATTCATCTTACGGGCTAAGGCAAAGTAATCGTATCAGTGTCTTTTTCGCTCTTACATGCGACACTGGCGGAAGAGAAAAGGATGATGATTTCGTTTAAGGCGCTATAGCCGTAAGTGTGCTTAGTATAAAAAATTGATCCTTAGTGACGTCATCGAGGCTTGTGTCTTGGGCGTCTTTTGCACATGTGATGCCTGTAGGAAATAAGGAAATTATGGTCAATGACTTGTATGTAAAACGCACCTCAGACGCGTTTCGGTCCCCATCCAGTAGCCTCATCAGTGGCTTTATCAATCTAGCAGTGAGATCTTTCTTTATCCTGCGCTTAACGACTAAGAGCCTTCTATAACTTAGTGTTCCCACAAAAATCATCCAATATTAATACCAAACCTGGCAGCTGGGGCGTCGACTTGGAAGAGAGTGTTCGCTATGACAAATCTACTTATAACAATGATTTTTTTGCTCGTGATAGATGATCAGATTGCGTGAAGAAATCTCCATCGCGTATTTGGTGTATTCAGTTAGATACATTCTTTTTCTTCGCCAATACAAGTGCCGATTGACCTACTAAGAATCAACGCTAGCTAGACCCTATTACAACTGTTTACTTTTTACCATTGTTCCTTTTACCTATATCATTACAAACATAGCCTTGCTCATACATGTCCCATATTTCCCGCGTGCAATTCATCTTCTTAGGTTAGCGACTAGGCTCACCTTTACACAAAATGATTACTTTATGGGCTAAACTGAATTTCAAAAGGATTCAAACATAGACACCGCTGTTTATTGCGTCAAAGTACCGCCGAACATCCAGTGTGCATTGCCCTTTTTTGTGATGTGCTCTACATATCCAAATTACGTACCAGCACTAGCGTGGCAGCTTTATTTTACGTGCTAGGACACTGGGAACTACAAAGTCTGATGGAAAAGTGTTGTGTCGTCCCGCGTGACTGATGGCAGCTCAAAACACGCCGAAGCGATGGGTCAGGAAGAGTTTCCTGATCGTGTACAAGGAAGGCTTGATGCGAGCGACTGTTGTACTGCGTGTAGCACGGTGGTTGCATCTAGCGGAGCCAATGCTATAGACTGGATGCGAGCCCGTAGTCAAGTAGAGTAGGACGTTCCGCTTTGATTTATATACATGCGTACTGGTTGTAAAGATAAGATATTTCGCACGTTTGCAGAATGTGCACTGGACTCTACCTGATATTGTGCGTAGCTTTTTATAGTACTAGAGGACGCATGACATGTAATCGTCTCGGAAGTGAATCTGAAGCTTCATCAAGACCACGAACGTAAACGGTACTATTGAGTCCGGAATGTGCCTATCGGTGCTCCATACAACTTATTTCGGCACGAAAGCTATTTCTTCTTTTTCAGATGTAAGTGACCCACCCAGATGAGGCGGCTGGTCTGGGAATCAAAGCGGCTCGAATTTGACGCTTCTGCATCAACTTGTTGCAAGATCAAGACTCTTCACTCCATCGAATGCAAGTAGTATGAAATTGAGCATACACGCACTAGATGTTACCGCGCACTGGAGCGTTGTTTTTTCGTGCGTGTAGTCGTCTTCTTCGATACATCAGCAAAGCAACACTAGCGGTATGGGATGTCTCTGCAAGATAAGACCTGTCAGGATGCGACTCGTCCAGGCCTATAGCGCAGTACCGATTCGATGCAAAGTATGGTTCTGAAGGTCACATCCCGAGTCTAAAGCTGTTGCTAGCTACATAGCTCGATGTCCGTCGTGGTAAGACTCTGCACGTAGATTCGATCGGTTGAGAGGGAGTGTAACGGGGCACCGGTCGCTACGTACTGGACTACCATTACACAGCCAAATCTCACTGACAACAGTGAATGTCAATGTCCTGCTAGGTATACGCACTATGCAGAGGAAGGGTAAGCGACTAAGGCAAAGACTCTAGTCGTAGTAAAAGTAAAACTGGTATTTAACATAATTAAGTCCAATATCGCTTGTTCTCTTAGACTTCCTAACATAATTATAGTAATATAAGTAAATGGTGATGGCGTCTTTTCACCACCCATTGCGCGCGTCTAGCTGCGATTGGTGGGTTGATATAAACACAATGTCAACCAATGAGTAACCCTTTGGGTCATCTCAACAATATCGTTGTATTTAGTGATATTGCTAAAATAATATGCAGCATAATTTTCTATGTTTCATTTCTCATAATAGAAATTTCATATAACAGGCTACCCCGTTACAGGGGGGCTTAGCGCTCGTTCAATTGGACACTCGCCTTCGACTACAACAATTTTTCATCCAATAGTCAGAAATAGTTTGGTCTTACTACACAGGGGATGCGCTACACAAGCGTTTACCATGACACGTCAACTAGTTCGTGGTCGACTTGAAGTCTTACACCTTTCGTATTGCCTACTCTGCAGATAGCACAGCGAAACGACGAAAGTGAATGCGTCAGACTGTTCAAGGACCGATATACCATCATAATAGTTTGATGCTAACAAGCCGTCTTTGCGTGCAATTGACACGTTTCCGCGTATCATTCGGTCTGCGCTTCCTTTCTCTACACCATGTGGAAAACAGCGAACATGTTAGTGGCAATTAATAGCGCCCGACATCTTGTTGTACTGAGCTCCAGCCGTACCGTGAGACCACGATGACTAGACCCACAGCGTTCGATATTCGCGCGATATTCAAAACACTATTTTGAATGACATCCCTTACATGAGCAGTAAACGAGTATAGCCATCAAGTATTGCTATCAGCATCAATATTCATCGACTTCGCTTCAATGTCAGCAGCAGCACCTTCCTAATTCTTGAGATCTCCCAGTCTGTGCTGACACTTACCCTTTTGGCTTGACGTGCCTCTCGCAGTACACCTCTCGTGGGACCACAACAACTGATGCTACCATAGGGTGTCACACGCCGCAAGCAAATGACAGCTTTGCGTCAGTCCATCAGTGCCACCGAAGCTTACGTTGGCTCATACGGTGTGAATGCTGAACCCTTGCAGTGATCATGGAAAGCCGCTTTATCTCCATGTTCACTCACAGCTTGCCACCACTAGCTCAAGCACGTGGCAACCTCGGCGCCGTCTACATGAACAGCCTCGGCCAAAGCGTGGCCCGGTGTTAAGTGCGCCGTTTATGAGAACGATGAAGATGCACAACCGAGCATTCAGCTCGACCCTTTTCGAAACTGGCCGACAAACACGGTGTGGCAAGATCCGTCGGCGTGGTTTTGCTTGTTTACATGTATCCAGAGGCTTCTTCTATTCGACATCGATGTCAGCAGATGCAGTGATAATTCACGACGCCACATCGTCCAAATTCTGCGCTGTAGCGTTAGAAACCGTTCGCGCAGACGCAAGATGGCTTAGACAATTGCGCTTCCACGTGGTGGCTTTGCTGCGATAATTTTTTATTTGACGGTGTCAGCACACCGAATCAGTGATGCTTGCTCATACGGCCCACCCGCAATGACCGCTTTATCGAGGAAATGGCACGAGCGTTGTACGCAAGTTACGACACATAACTTGGGCTCTGTAGACACCAAGAATCCATGATCAAAACGCAATGCAGCTCACCCTGACCTGTGTGTGATCGGCGAGCAGAGGAGTGTGTCAGTCGTCTGAATCAGGTGGGTCTTTCATTCCACAACACGATTCTTCCCGTTCAAGTAGTCAGGAGTGCACATCATCGATGCGCATGAGTATCGATCGAGACGTGCAAAGGCATTATCATGTACCCAGTAAAGTAAGCAGATGCGTCCAGCAGCATGTGCAAAGGCTATCGTGGACGCTTTGACTTTAGGTTTCCAATCACCCGGTTTCAAGCATGTTTGATGATGAACCCGGGGTTCGCAGTCAACATGGTCGAGTCAACGCGACAGCTGCAGCCGGTGTATCTGCAAGTCCTGATCGCTGATCTCAGTAGGTGCTACGAGAGTCGACGGAAGGGCGTAATCGCTTTTACTTTGCACGCTAGTGCAATACGAAGCGCTGGCGACTGTTGGCGATTGCAAGTGACATCGATGCTGCGTGCTTCTGTTGTTCGACAAGGACACTGTGCACTGACCATATTCAAGTCAAACCTCTGCTAGATGTCGAATTGGGATCAGGCGTACATGTACCATCCTCAGCCAAAAGCTATTTGTGACAATGACTCGAGCAAAACAATGGGGCAGTATGCTGTGCACGTTGCTGCTCACATGTCATCACGCTGTATCTTTGATCAGGTCCTGCATCAGAGATCAAGTGGGTTGGTGTTTGCTGTCTGCTCGCTTGTCTCGGACCATTGTTCAATCGAGTTATCATGAGCTTTGACGTATCGCCCATGCACGTCTTCGCACAGATTCCAATCTGCCCTCTCCTTCTCCAACTATCGCTGTTCGTAGCTGCAATGTGGTTGCAGATACTCTTCGCAGCGACCGTGTCTGGCGCGGGATCTACAAAAAGCGTCAACTCAAGCGCTAGCGATCCGTATGAGCCAAGAGCAGTTCATGCAGCAGATCTAGTTCAGCGATCCACATCAACGAACGACTTGCTGTCCCCGTTTGCAACGGATGAACCGTCCCGATCGCTCTTCAAACGCAAGGACGGACTAGGTGTGCTCGCCCCTATCATCAACATAGCCGATAACCTGCTCGGCAAACCCATTCCGACGAACGAGTGGTGGGGCAATCTCATCCACGCAGCAGGAGGAGAGGTCTCTGACGATACCGTCGCTGACCCCGTGTGGTCCAACCCGTACGCGCTCAAGTTGCCCAACAAGGCACCTTTTGGACTCCAAGCATGCTACTCCTACACCTACCGCCAACTGGCTGAGAAAGTGGACGGCGTTATCCGATACTACCTGCACGAGTTCCACAACGACTTGACATTGTCAGCAAGCGAGTTCGGATCGACGAAACCGGACTATCAAGTCTATTCGTACAGCGACATGGGCGTGAACATTCGGACGTGCGTGTCGGGCAAAAGCACAAGTAATTTGTGCATGGACTCGGCGCTCGTGCACGGCATGGCATTCGTTTCAGCGACGTACGCTGGTCTGACACCGAGGATCGAGTCTGACTATGCCATGACAGTGGTCGATCGCTCGACGCCTGGTAAGTACGTGATGCAGCTGGCGAACAAGCAGACGTGGGTCGTCTTTACCAGCGACACAAGTGCATCATTTTCGATCGCACCGACGGGATCAGCTTTGGTGGCGAGTGCTGCGTACACGGGCACGATTCGTCTGGCGGTTCTCCCGGAGAGTGGTGACCCGAGCGTGTACGACAACTTTGCGTCGTGTGTCGTTCGTGGTGGTCAAGTGTCGGTGCAATCGCGCACGAGGTACTCGTTCGAGTGGGAGACCGAAGGCAGCGGGTGCGACAGCACGGGTATGCTGCATTTTGCGCTACCTCATCAAGTGGAAGTCATGACTCGTCGTCCGACGACCGCTCAAAGCAGAGGTGCCATCGTACTGCACTCGAGTACGCGAGGCCAAATGGTCGGCCAAGTGACCAAACCGTCGAGCTGGACCTTGTCAGAGCCCGAGACGGACGACGAGGTGGACTTTTACCCGTTGTCCAAGCTTTCCGCTTCCGCGGTCTCGAAAGTGAAGCTTCTCTCTACCTTGCAAAGCGACATTGACAGCAAGTGGAAGCTAGACGCCGGCAGCTGGTATTACGATGGCAAGGCGTACCAGAAGTATGCGTCACTATGCCTGGTCGCTGCTGATAGAGCGGTGGTGGGTGATGACAAGACGTTGCTCAAGCGTTGTGTGTCGAAGCTGGAGGCACTCGTCGGTCCTTTTGTCAATAACACCTTGGGCATGCCGCTAGTGTACGACACAACATACAAAGGCATTGTAACGAGTCAGGTGTTCGACACGAAGGACGTTTGCGTCGAGTTTGGTAACGGCGTGTTTAATGACCACCACTACCACTACGGCTACTGGGTGACGGCGTCGGCAATTCTGAAGAAACTAGACCCGTCGTGGTCGGGCATGGCGCAGCTCGAGACCATGGTATGGACCTTGTTGCGTGATGTTGCCAACCCGAGTTCGGACGACGTATACTTCCCCAAATTCCGTCACTTTTCGTGGTTTGTAGGTCACTCGTACTCGCATGGCGTGACTTCGGTGACGGATGGCAAAGACGAGGAAAGCACTTCGGAGGACGTTAACTTTTTCTACGGTATGAAACTGTGGGGCAAGGTGACAGCGAACAGAGCCGTCGAAGATCTGGGCAGTCTCATGCTGCGCCTGAATGCCCGTGCCGTGCGCACATACTTCCTCATGACATCGGACAGTACTATCCACCCTTCGCAGTTCGTACCAAACCATGTCACGGGGATCTTCTTCGACAACAAGGTGGACTATGCGACGTGGTTCAGTGCCGAGAAGCACTGCATCCATGGCATCCAGATGATCCCAGTGTCCCCAATCAATGGACTTGCCCGAACGGCCACGTTCGTCAAGGAAGAATGGGACGACGTGCTGTCACTGGAGACGATTGTCAAGAGTAACAACGTCACCAATGCCTGGCTGTCTTTGTTGCTTGTGAACGCGGCTGTTATCGATCAAGAAGGAGCGCTGGAGAAGCTGGCGACAGCAACGATGGACGACGGTCTCACGCGCTCATGGGCTCTTTACAACGCGGCATCTCGCGGAAGCGCTCGCAGCTCGACACATGCCGCGAGAGCTCCACCGACTAAGAAGAGAGCTACGTTTGTGGCTTCTGCCACTAGGGGTGCCAAGACAGCACGTTCGAAAGTCACGGCTGCTACTTCGAAACATGCCAAGAAAAGGCTAGTTGCCTTCGCGACGTCAAAGACCTGGTATGAAGACACTGCATTGTCCAGGGGTTCTCCGATAGAGATTGTTGACAGCGCACCTTCTGCGTCGGCTGCCCTTCCACCATCGTCGTCAAACAGTGCGACATCCAGGCTTACCGTCACAAACAAGCCAAGCAAGGTCGCAGCAGCACAAGAAAAGACGTCAACTGGTTCACGCATACCTGGATGGACGTCGACAACACCCGGGTGGACATCCTATACTCCCGGTGTGGTCAAACCTGAACGTTCTCCGACAGTTGCTGTGGTATCTGCTCACCTCACGACGAAAGATGAAGCAGCTTTCCTTCGTCCGATGAGTCCCAAGAGGTAGATGCTGCTTCAGCGATGAAGGTGTTTGCGCATACGGCGCATGATTGTTAACGCTATTGGTGAACTTGTCGACTCTGCATGGCTTCGTACCTGAACATGTTGAATACGTCGTACGCTTTTGCTAACAGGTATCTCTTAAATTCGGCAATAAAAAGGCTTCTTGAGCCGTTAGCGTTGCGAGTGTCCGTAAAAATAGCTGAGCGAAGAGAGAAAGAGGAGCCATTGCATGTTCGTGATCAGTGTTTTCAGTCGTCCATAACTTCCTCGAACGACACTTCGCTATTCAAGCTCGCAAGCATCAACACCACCGGCAGCCGAAGAGTCGACTGGCCGACGTAGACGAACTCCGGCATGGACGAAATTATGAGAGCTGGACACGTCGTCCAAAACTTTGGAAAAGATCGCTGATGACAAGCAAGTGGGAGACGGCTGCACGCTGTCGTACTACAACATCGGAAAGGGCAGGACGGATACAAACGACGTTAGTTCCCCAGCTATGTCGGTGCCTGATTGAATTCGAAGTCGGTATTGATGCTGCCTTTTGACTGCAAGTCGACGCTTCACTGATTGTTGCGTCTGCTGTTGATGCTATCGAGCCTACACTTTCTTCCTGTACAAAAAGACAACTGCAAAGAAGCCAATTTGCCGTATCTGCTGCACGGCGTCTGCCGCCTCTTGCGACCAAAATTACCGCAAGAAGAAATGTGGCCACACCAAACAGCTGCGCATCAAAAAAGAAGGTCAAATTGTCGCAGCGTTGGGCAAGTCTGATCCTAAACATGCAAAGAGGAATGCATGTTGATCGAGCGTACGATGCTGATGGAATGTTTTATCGTCACATATAAAGAACTTGCTACTGGTGAAAGGGAAATGGCGTCGGTCCAGATATTGCCGACTAGAAGCTGTGCAGATGGACGGAGTGCTGCTACTTGCGGCGGAGGGCATTATATGCGCAAGTGTAGGTCCACATCAAACATGTCGCACAAAAGAAGCTGACTGTTAATCTAGCTGAGTGTCGCAGAATAGTCAGTCACTCTACATAAACATCGAAGACGGAAATTCGCGTCATGAAGACAAGATCTGTAGTATGAGGCAAATGCTTTGCTTGTTTCGATGCGCACGGTGATCAATGAAGTGACCAGTGGATGTACCAACCGAGTTGGACACCGCCAAACATCCGCTAGTGCTTGATCTCTCGAATTGCTAAGACGTTTGCATGAATGAATGCGATAGTTATCTGTATTTTCTGTGTGATGTCAAGCATGTATGTTTACGCGCGATGTGCGTATGTATCGTATGCATCCAGCTAAGCTGTTTTTATTTCAATTCGGTCTCTTCTAGTGCAAGTCCGCTTTGCGTATCCACAAGCATTTGCGCGACCGCCTGCAATTCATCTATTGTGTTTTGTTAGCTCTCCAGTATGATGTCTGCTCTTGCTGACGTCTATATTGCGACAGGTCGCACTTTTGACATACTTTACAGCAATATGGTCGCACCAAATACGGCTCTGCGCTGTCTCATTGCGTTCACGAAACCGCCAAAGGGCAGCTACACATTCCTACAACACCAAACAAGTAGGGCCTGGATAGACGGGATACAGCAAACTTGGATATGCGTGAATGTGAGCGGTCGATCCAAAGTATGTGTAAATTCGATCGCATAGTATACATCACTAATGCATTATTTTTATTTTTCCATGCATTTTCTCTCATCTCGTGGAGCAGTTGGGATATATTTATTTTATTCGAGTTGTCTGGCTCATTTATAACCTTCTTGTACAGTTTTTTATACTCATCTTCATGGAATGTTTATTGCGCAGTTTTTTGATAGCATACTCTATTTTCTCTACTTACAATTATTTCTACCACCGCGCAAATGGTCGTCAAATCCATTATTCTCCCGTCTGCGATTACACGGATGAATTTTCTGGTACGGCAGTAAAGTGATATTGTCTGGCTTACCGCAGTGTAACCATACTTTGTGCACTCTTGTGCTCAACTGAGCAAGTCGAATGGGTGTTCCCGAGTAGAAGTAGTGGGCGACCCGGCGTTTACTTCGAAACCAACTGTTTGCGAGAAGACCAAACACTTAGCTGCAGTCTGGCGGTCTGGAATACGACACGATAACAGCAGGGCGTGAGGCACGCTAGGTCGAAATACACCTCACTCTTGTGAAAGAACCAAGGCTTGGAAGACGTTCCGGCTTCAACCCCTACTCATTATCCCTTATGTCTCGCTGAGATCGAGGCATCGACTTTCGCAGCCCACATCGCGTCGTATACCGGACTTCATCATCTGAGCTGGTCTTGCGAGCGCAGATGAGGTCACTTTGCAGCGCAACGGGGTCCTCGTCCTCGTAACGACTTGTATCGCTGTTTAAACGAACATTCCTCGTCTGTTGACCCATTTTATGCCTCTTTTTGACCAGCACAGAGAACCCCCCCCCCTATCAAGCAAGCCTTCTGTCTGCCCCCTCAAACGTGCTACTTTCGTGCAACTTTCACGAGCGACCGTACTTAGCACCAACAAGTCGCCATTGGTGCAAACACGACGACCCCAAATGCCAACGCTAAGGGCCCGCCGCTCCCAGTCGCAGTCCGCGAGCTCAGCCGCAGCGGATCAGCTGCAGACGACACTCACGCGGTCGCTGCAGGAGTGTATCCAAGCGACTGTGAGCTCCGTGTGCGCGAGTTTCCAGCACGCAGGAGACGAGGCAACGACGACTAGCAGAGCGTCTGTCGACGGGAGCAGCGACTATGATCGATACTACGTCCACTGCCGCCGTCTAGTGGACTACATTGTGCAGAATATGGAGACGCCGCCAGACTTTGTGACGCAGATGGACCGGATTATTCTGGCGTGTCACCGCGGGGCCTCCGAGCGCGTGCTGAGCGCTTTGGTGGCCACGCCGCTGTGGTTTCATCGACGTGGAGACGCTCCGCCGCTTTGTGGGGAAGAGAAGGAGCAGCAGCAGCAGCAGCAGCAACAACAACATCAAAAGAAGAAGAAGGATGGGAGCGACAGCTGCAGTACGAGAAGAAGTAGCCGGCATGGAAGTGCTGTAGCGGCTGTGTCGACGGCCGATAAGAAGAAGAAAAAGAAGAAGGGAAAATCGTCTCCGCCTTCTGCGGAAAACGTGGCAAAGAAGTCGCCGACGGCATCAGCGGCGCACGCTGGGAGTGGTGCCCGTAGCAAGAGGGGAACGGGGGCGAGTGAGCAGGATACACGGCCGCCGAAGAGAACGCGGCGCGTGCCGAGAGAGGTGATACACGGCACATCGGATGAGAAGGAGATAAAAGTTGAGAAACGACACAAAGAGGGGAAAGCGGTACAAGAGCCGGAAGATGAAGATGAGGCGTTATCGTTCGAAGATGCTATTGGCGAGTTGTGCTACCCGGACCAACGCACGCAGGCAGAAACGAAGTTCTTTAAAGACCGACTGCGCAGTTCTATTCGGTTTGTCGATGCACTGCTGTGCAAACCTCCGCGCGGCAAAGTCTGTAGACGTGGGTGCAAGAAGATTCGGGCCCAGATGTGCAGTAGCTCCAGGCCGTGCAAGAACAAGATGTGCCGCATCTGGCACGATGTAGAGGCACACACGGATTGCTGCCTGAACCCACGATGCGAGTTCAAAATCCGTGTCTTGCTGCGTGAGACGATGCACAAGGTGGAGATGAACAAGCAGCATCAAGCTGTAATCGAGGCGAAGTTGCGAGATAAGCACACTGAGCTGAAGAAGGCCGTTGACGACGATAAGGATGCAGTGGAGAATGACATTGTAAACTTGGAGCACGACCTTGAAACATGTGATGATGAGATGGGTGTGCTGAAGGCCTCGACCGAAACGTTTTGGCGCAATCTGAACGACATTGGAATCGAAGTGAAGGATGATGCGATCGACAATTTTCCTGACTTCGACACCCACTACGGGGACAAGAAGGGCCCACGTAAGACAGCAGAGGCTCTTTCTACAAGTTCCCACCCTTCTTCTTCTCATGGGTCTAGTCGAAACTCGCGTACTACATCTCGTCATGCAGGCGGCCCCCATGCAAGTGTTGGTCCCCATGCCCGCGTCGGTCCCCATGCTAGTACGAACAAGGATGCGGAAGACAATGATGGTTGCGAGAGCGCGAGTGGCAGTATGTACCAGTGCGCGTCGCGGAGGAACACGCACATCGAACGCTTTACGCGAAGAGCGATGATGGACGGATTGGAGCTGCACTGTCATAGCTCGAGTGATCCACCTCAGGAAGACGAACCGCCACTACCACCCAGTGGCCCTCCTCCGTTCCGACAAAACCCTGAATTGGATGGGGAATCGGCTGGTAGCGTTTCGGGCTACCCTATCGACCTAGTGGCTGATGATCATGAGGCCGAAGCCGCTACTGCGAACATTGAACGGACGGCGTCAAACGGGTCGCGTGAAGAGCGAATGGCTGACATGCAGCTAGAAGGTGACAAGAGCTTCGGGATTATGGCAAGCGTGAGCTTTGACTTGTCTTCTGAAGAGCCAGCGAATAGAAGTCCTCACACACCTCTTGGCGACCCATTCGCTGCAACAGACACGCGCATCAAATCGTCAGCTGCCGAACCGCGCCCGACGGATATGGATTGCAGTTCTCCTCTTGCTGAATACTTCACCACTGCGGACTTTGCCATTCGAGAAGATCAGCTCCGAGATCTATGAGAGGTAAACGCGAACAAAAGTGTATAAATGCTTCTGGCTAAGGCAGTATGACATTTGTTGCGAGCACAGATAGCTCTCACTTCGTGAGTGTGCGCAAGGTGAAAGCCGAACGTTTCGGCAGCTACTTTTCGTGTATCTGTCTGTCATTCGGTGTGCCTGTCTGTACGCCATGCACACACGCACGGCAAGGATCGGCTCAACGCAATCGAGGGTGACGTATAAAAATAAGTACATGTTCGACACATTGGAGGAGCAAAGGTCTCGCACCTCGGCGCCACATCATCAGCAGCATCACCATCAACTGTAGTAGCATCACGATTGGCAATTGTAGCACCACCGTTGGCAATTGTAGCCTCACCAGCACCTCCAGCAGCTAAGCGAGCAGCGGAGCCGTCCGCAGTATTTGGAACGGGCAGAAAATGCTTTGGTCTGGAAATACGGCCGAATTTGCATGGAGCTAAGAAGTAAGACGTCGTCTGAATAGGCGTAGTGCACAGAGTCAGAGTTCTCACACATGACGTACCTCCTCTTTGAGCGGACCGCAATCGATGCTCGGCGAGAAGGTGCGGCAGCAAGCAAGTTGACTTCGGCCGGGGTCCAGTTAAAGACAGTCTGCACCTTTACATTCCGCCGACTTTACTTTTCTGTGTGATACTTCAGTGATGGGTGAGAGAGAGGAAAGCTATGCGCGCAGCACTGATACGTTCCCAGAGAGAATCACGCCTTTTGCACGATACGGTGATCGAAGACAGCACTCGTGGAGGACTTTCTACTGCTCACGTACGATACAAAACGGAGCAGCGCTCGCGTTTGGCATGGAGCTGATCCCTGTGACGAACTGGCTGTGACCGCCAATCTGACCTCTTCGAGTCAGATACATAGATAAGACATCGTTCATTGAAGAGTAGCTCACGTCGTGTCGAGCCGCCTGGTGTTTGCAGACAGTGGAGTTGCGAGAGCTGTGGTGGGCATGTGACACCTTTTGCTTGTCCATGCGAACGACGTGAATCGAAATTATGCTTGTTTTCTACGGGTAAGGACTTCTAGCATGAATTGTCCCAAATGCTTCAGCCGAAGTTGTGTGAAGAGTACGAAAAGCTGGGAGCGCATCTGGGGCCTTGTTTTTCATTCTGCCTGGCGATGGAGAGCGCGGCACTTGATCGGATGGCTCCAATGATGGTACGAATTGCATCGTACTGCTACAATCGCAAGTCTAATCAACACGGATACAGTACTAAGCATAAACACACATTAGTCACCCAGCTCAGTGAGTTCACGTCAATGGCTACGGCAAACGTTTGGCGCGTATTTCAATCTGAAGCGGGCACGACCCCAGCAGACTGTATGTGAACACGATAGGTGTGACTCATTGTTCACCACCAAGAGGGTCAAGGGGATCGCCGGTTGTGGCAGCGTGGGGCCTGTAGTCGTGTGCGTATCACCCTTGGTTTCAGACGGTGCGTCTAAACTTTTCCACTGGAAAGCACGGAGAACGCTGGCCAAGATAACGGCAGTGACATCGACTCACCGTTTGCAAGAACACGAAAGCCTAGCGGGTAGCCTAGCAGATGAAGCAACGTGTACGAAAAGGAGCAGACACGATGACATGAGGAGCTCAGCTTGACAAAGGGATCTATGAAGCTGCGTAAGAAACGTGCAGGGATGATGTGGGTCACTCGCCACAGTTTATGGAGACACAGTAACTTGGTTGCATGCGTCCGCAAAGACTACGACCTAGGTCGCTATCCAAGGAGACAGGGGTGCAATTGGCATGAATGACGGTCAATGAAAAGGGGCCGACGGGTATAAGAAGGCGTTAGGTACAACCAAATGGCACACCTGACCGAGGCGGCTCGACAAAAATCTCGGCTGTGCGCAGAGAGCAACGAGCACATGTTTTACTTATCTAGTGCGTTCCTGAACGTAGAGCAAGATACCGACGTGCTGCAGCAGCTGTGTAAGTCATAATCGAAGAAAGCACAAACACTGGAGCAGGTTGCAGCTGCAACGCATATGATCTGGTGCGACCGATAACAGTCATAGCCGTGTAATCCAACCTGGTCGCACTCAAGCTACACAGGATAAACAGGATTGCTTGTCGAGCGAGTTACAAGCTGCGGGTCGACGCTTTTTTTGCTTTTAACTATATAAGCGTAACGTGTTCTTACTGTTGCTGCATGTAACGCTGGTGTAGAAGGATGGAAGAGACGTCTGCGAAGTCTGACAAGTAGTCGCTTTCTACATACCACTCGATGACGTGATGGCAGTGACGGCTTGTCGGTCATAAAGACGAAAAGCTTCCATAGAAAGGCATAAGACACAAGACCAGCAAACCTTGATTTGAATGAATGACTGTCATTTGCAATTGGCGCATTCATCCTTCAATTTGGTACTGGTGCAAACGATAAGATTGTGTATAAACGTGGAGGACGTTCTCATCAGTAGCTCATTGAATACAGACATGCTATCACCGTTGCTCGAAATACGCAGGTATATCAATTCAAAAGCAGCTTAGCACCAACAAGACGCATAGTCACCGAAAGCGATACTTGACACTGCACAATGAAGTGAGGAGATCTTTGAACCAGCAACATAGAGGTTGACGTATCAGACGACTCGACAGGCAGCTGAGCTCATATCAGTAGTGACAACAGAAGATTCCGCCCCTGATGTGGTAATTCGTCGAATGCGAGTACGATTGCCATTGACTATGCTGCAATCCATGAGAGCAAAGTAGTCACAACTGCGACCTAGATACCGCTGTAACACAGCGCGGGTGGACGTGCCGGTCATGGTAGTTCAGCCAGCTATTCACGATGAAAAGACGTGCATCGTTTATACGACTCAATTAACACAACACGGTGACTTTCGTCACGTGCAAGTCGCTCGCAGGATCGCTGGGGGGGGAAGACGAGAGCCATCTTCTGACGAAGAAATGACAACGGTGCGTCGAGTCGATTTTCCTTCCAAGACTTCATCTGCGTTTTGTAACAGTCTCGGCTCTGCACATTGTTTTGCAGACACCTTGGCGAAACCCGTGTCGCTGGAAAACGATCGGAGCTGTCTGTTGGTGATGAACTGGATGGCATGCGCTTGCATGGACGATTTGGCTGACACCTGCATCGGTCCAAATGAAAAGGATGTGGTCATCGATGGCGTACCATACAACGCGTTGAAGCATTCCTAAGAGAGATAGAATCAAGGCACCCACGAAGTTGTCAAAAAAACTGAGACAATTGGAACCGTGATGCGTGTAGTCGATAAGGTAAGCGAAAGCAGTAGTGCGGAATGGTGAGAAGTCACGGACAAATTTGAATGACCCTATGCGCCCCCGTTCGTACATACAAAGTCCGTAGAAATCAGATTTGCCTTTGATGTCAAATTGGAGACAAGCGCAAATGGTATGGTGGTTCAAAGTGGTTTGCGTGCCATCTATCTGTGGGCATCAATAGCAAAAGACGGGGATTTGTGGAGAAGGCACACGTACTGTTTTGATCATGCACTATTCTATATAGTCCAGCGGCATGTCAAATAGTCCACCCAAGCTCGCTAAATGGTGCGGGAAAGTTTCGAGTGTTTGTGTCAGAGACCCTGATTGAGCCGGGTTGAAAATGGTCGGATGAACTCCATATCCGAACACTTGAGACCCGAATGCCGAAGTTTGGTAACGATTAACTGATTAGCGATGGAGTGGTCTATATTGTGTTAACAAAGACCCCAGAGTCGGTGCAAAGTGTTGACACATCCGCACTTTCGAGATCAGTAGCAAACGACGAAGAATCTGAACAAGTGTACCGTAAGGTGTGATAGTCAGACAGAAGAAAACAGCATCAAAGCCTGACCGCGTTGGTCAGATGGTTTACGTGGTACGAAGAGCTCCAGCGAGTCAAACATCTTCCTTACGAAAGAACAAAAAAGCACGGCAGCAAAACGCAAGACCCGCACTTTATCTTGTGCTCGTTCCAGTTGCTAGGTAGCACGTTCATCGACTGCTGCTTTGCCCATGGTGCATATGACTTATTGATGTAAGAGGACGAAAGCGTGGAGGCTGCTATCAATGACGTAACGATGAGTAGCCATTCATTAGTGCTACTCGTAAGCTTTTTCTACTATGTTCTTCTTACCCATCGAAATGCATGTCGCCAATGCCACGCGGATATCAAAGCGACACGAAAAGGACCAAAGCTTGCGTTGACGGCAATAGTACTTCCAGATACAACCGGGTCATACAATCAAACGACCGATGGAATTGCATTGTCGTTCCGACACAAATTGATTCTTGATAAGAAATGGCATCTGGGTGCTAAAGGCTCCAAGCGCGGATGCTAGGCCCCGTCGGCGCGGTCATCTTCGCCGGATACTGCAGCCAAAACCTGTGCGTCAGTCGAGGCCGGTGGTCTGTACACATCAAGACAGCTCACGATGTTCACGCTCTTGACCACCATTGCGAATCGAACGCCTTTCATGAACATCCCCTTTCACGAACACGTGGCAACATCGAATACTCAGCAGCGTATACCACAGAGCGGCGCGCTACATTGAATCGATATCAGCTAGACCATAGAGGTCGAATCGTCTGAACTATCACGAGCCCAAACTGTCCGACCAAGTTAGTGCTGCGAAAATGACTTCTCAACGAATCGCACGCCTTCGACTTCGAGTCGCGCGAGCGCTGGGACATAGATATCAGGGGTCGTCGGTGTGAGTACACCACGGCCCCGAACTGCGTCTTGCAAGATGAGCTGTACACCGATAGCCGCACTCAGGCCAACGGTTTTAGCCATAACCGTGTCGCCCTTCTCAGATCCGTAGCCCACGAACGTCGATGTGCGCTTTTCCATTTTGCCGTCGTCGTACTCGATGCCGAACTCATGGTGCATGATGGCCATATCACGTTCTCCGGGTAGATACGACAACTTGTTCTGCAGTAGCGCACAGAAGGCATCAAGAATTGAAGGCGCTTTCACCACAGGTGTCGCGTGATCACAGGCACCAAGCCACTGTAGAAACTCGTGGGCGTCTCTACGGAGTCCTTGAGCTCCGCCTAGCTGTGTCAGAAGTTCTGACCAAGTGTCTGGGATGAATTTTGAAGAGTCCACGTCAAACAGTCCCAGCTTTCGTAGCTGGTACAGAATTTCGCAGCAACCGCCGTAGCGTAAGGTACCACGATACAACGAGTGCGCGTCCGGGATGCCGTAGATTTTACCGTACGGAAGTGAGTTGCGGTTCGGTATTTGCTCAAGATTGAACGCTGGCAAGAACGATACGCGCTCGCTACAATTGAGCAACTCTTCACCGGCCACCGCAATGACTTTTCCGTCTTTGTAGTATCGAGCTGCATTCAAAGCCGCTGTTAATACGCCGCGAGGGCTCCAGCTGAACTTGTAACCAATGGCGTTATCCGCTGCTTCCGGTGCTGGCAGTCCGCCACACACGGACGAGAAAGACACGATCTTGCCCGAGCGCGCCTTCACTTCGTCGATGACCTTCATGGCGCTCATGTGGTCCAAACCGGGGTCGAGACCAATTTCGCAAAGAATCGGAATACCGGCCTTCTTCGCCTTTGTGTCCAATTCCTTCATTTCGGGCGATATATAACTAGCAGTCACGAGAGGTGTTGCATGATGAATACAGTGCTGGGCGATGTTCGTGTGCATAGTCGCTGGCAACAATGAAACGACGCAATCAGCTCCGGCACAGAGTTTGTCGACACCGGCAGCATCTTCTGCCACATTAACGACATGAGGCTTAACGTTTTGCCGGGTGATTTTGCGCACCATTTCCTTCACTTCGCTTTCGACGCCCGACACCACATGCACCTCGTTTCCTTCATCGCGCGATAAGTACTCGACGAGCGGCGAAGCTACCAATCCAGCCCCGAAGCACACGACCGATCGCTTTTTCGGACTTGAGACCGAAACGTCACTTGTCGTGTTTGCTGCCGAATCCTTTCTTACAACCGCACCGCGCGTTTTCGAAAAGTTCGTTCCACACAAGTCAGGCAGTTCAGTGACGGTAGCCTTGGCTCCTGTTGTGAGCTCAGCAAGGGAGCGGATCTTCTTGATAACGCCTTCGAGAGCATCGCGGTCTGCCATGCTAATTTGAACGATCGCGTTCGAAACGACGCCGTCGCCGTTGCCACCAGCCTCAATCTTTGGACGTACATCACAGTTCACAAGGTGGAACCCACCATCATGGCCCTCAATGAGATTGAGCACCTGGTTGATGAGCCCAGTGTCGAAAAGGTGGCCTTCCAGCAAAATGCATGTACTACCGGCAACCGCTTGTCGGGCGTCCAAGAACTTGAACTGCTTGCTGCGCTCACGCTCAGCACGCATACGGTGTATGTACTCGTACTTGGATGTCAGCTTACCTTTGCTCGCAATACAAGCACCACGCAACTCAGTCGGCAACTCCTTTCGTTCATGCAGCGGAACATCAGATGTGGAGATGCTCGAAAGCGTGCTGACGTATTTCACCAATAAATCACCAAATTGCTGACTCGACTCGCGCGCAAGCTCGCTTGGTAAGATGTCAACTCCCATCATCATAATGCCATTGTCGCCTTCAAGCCCGCGGCAATCTCCATCGTCGCGCATTTTTCCTTCTTCGACGTCGTACAGAGCAAAAGGGCGCTCAATCTCTGTGGCACGATCCAAGAACTCGACGCTGCCGCCAATATCGCACGAGATATCAGCAATACCAAGCAGCTTTTGATTTCCAGAGCTTCTTAGTTTCCGCATCTGTTCCCGCGTGATCAAGCGCGGAAACCGGTCGTCCCAGTACATGCAGTTCACCAGCATCGAAGTGTACGGTAGCACCTTTTCGTGAAATACTGCCTCGTACTGGTGCGGGTTCTGGTAATAATGTGCGCGCAAAGGCGTTCCCGGAAGCTCCAATCTCGACTTTACCAGAAACGACGGATCGTCGATTACGGTGCCGTATAAAACGCGATTATTCATGGGCAAACTCGATAGCTCAGACGGGTGCACCATTTCATGAGGCATGAGCTGAAAGATCTCTTGTGCTCCTCTCGACACGTTTCCATTGCCTGTAAACACAAACGTCATGGGCGCCAGTGCCCGTGGCAGACCGTCCGTCTGAATGCTCCTGCCTGCCGCTGCTACCGCATCTTTGGCCTGCGCCAAATCTGCGTACATGTACGCCGACGCGACATTGACAAACGGCGAGGAGATGCCCATATTAATGAGACGCTCGCCAAGGCCTCGAAAGCCGGCCATCATGCCCGCGCGACCTGCATTAGCTCCGAACGCAATCAAGCGCTTGCCACTCGGCTGCTCAGTGATGCACTCGTAGTCAACGAGCGTAATGCGCTTGTGCAACACGGCGTCCAGTAACGCCATGTTCTCGGGCTGGGCCTTGATCGTGTGACTAAAGAAAAGGTACGTCTTGTCGGCCAAGAGCGCGGGCTCGAGCACCTGCTTGACGCCGACGATCACGTTGGCCGCTGTGAGGTCGTCCGTCAACGTCGCGCCCGCGCGCGCGTACTGCTCGTCCGCGAACACGCGCGCCGTCGACGGCTGCACGAGCACGTGCACGCCCTGCTGCACTAACTCGCTGACGTGCGCGGGCGTGAGGGGGACCCGGCGCTCCCATCTGCTGTACGCCTCGCGGACGATCCCGACGCACTTGCTCGGCATGTGGTGTCTGCCGCTGTCGCGTAGTAGTAGTCGGCAGTTGGGGGCGAAACGACAAATGGCAACTGCAACGTTTGTGGGGTGCAAGGCAAATGTGTGGGAGATGGCTACATCCGACGTGCAGACGATCAAAGAAGCGATGACGGCCTTATGGTTGAAGTTGGTCGCCCGCTGCTTGAAGATCATCGAGTCGCTGAACGACGCGGTTTGATTGGTCGAGTCAAATAGGTGCGCGACTAGGTCAAAGCAGACGCTAAATTAGGAGTGGGGGGGGGCAATAAGAGTCACTGGAGCGCTATCGATGTCCATGGCGCTATCGACGTCCGTGGAGAGTGTCGCCCCGCCGCTTCGATACTTTAGCTTCAAGGACTTTCTGTCGGAGACCGAAGTTGCTTCGTTCTTTGACTGGCGCCACACGGAGCAAGTGGCAAAGGTCGAGCAGTACTTGGACTTCTTGGGCCAGCAGCCTGATGCCGCACACTTTACGGCATCGCCCAAGGCGTCCGTCAGCTTTGCAAAGCTTGACAAAGCGCCTGTAGCTGATACCGACGATGACATGGACGTGGTAAAGGACGACGTGTTCGGTTCAGATGCAGCAGCTGTCCTAGAGCAACTGCTGGAAGGACGGACTCGCAGCGGGTTTGGAGCTGTTGGCACTGAAGTGGGATTCTTGCCGCAAAAGCGACTGAGTTTAGCTGTCGCCAATGTTGTCGAAGAGATCGGCCACACGTACGTCTTGGAAAGGAACAAGCGTGGCGATGCGGTTCTAAACAGTCGCAGCTTCTTCTTCTACTGGTGCCACGCCGAAAAACAAAAGCTCATGGACGTTCGAGAAAAGCTTGTCGCGAACGAGGTGCCGTCGCGAACGAGGTGCTCGTTCTGGCGACAGCTTGTGATTGTCGTGGATCGGGTCATGTGCGATGATTGTATTCGATTTGCAGCGTGCTTTGCGCGTTTTGAGAAAGCTTCTATCTGCATACAAGATCCAGCAGTGACGCGGATATTTCCTCCCTCGAGCGCTGGACCAGTCCTTGTCCGTGACACTTGACACTTAACACTTGACCACTACATACAAGAGAATATTCTGCTACTTTCTGTTGAAGAATAAACTCCATGTACAACTTCGCCGAAGGCATTGCAACTCGCTAGACGCGCATGTGGATGTTCACTTCGACGTGGCTAAAGTGATGTCTTGGAATTTGGCCAAGGCTTCCAGACGTTGTCGGCATTCCAACTATGAGCTAAGTCTTCCGCAACGCAAAGCAAAGCTAGTTTGACTGCACGAGTATAGGATGCTTCCACATGTGGGCTTGATCGTACCTCGTCATTGTCGCGAAGCTAGTGATGCCGACCGATTGCTTGGTCGCTATTGCCGGACATGTGCTCGAAAATGGACAAAGCATATCAAACAGTCCCCTTGCGTAACGTCAGCCGACGTCCGCGATGTAGCGATGCAATCACACGAATACTTGCGCACATGCCTAGTGCAGTGGTCAGACTCACTGGAGGTGCCCCGATACCACTACGGGCATGTTCTTACGACGTAGCTCTAACTTCCTGCCCTCATGATGCGCGTGCCAAGCATCTAGCAAACAACAAGCATGGACAAACTATTTACATGTCGATGGAGTGCATAGAACTCGTCTACTAAGACTCTGTCATCGTCCAGGTTTTTGTTTGCGTTGAGCCACAGCAAACTTATCCATCTCCCAACGTTTGCGCAACAAACCTCGTGGTATACGTCACGCAAAACTGCCTGCCATGGCGACCAAGGAGGCTTGGATGCACCGCTTCCAGACGTAGGCACACGATCCTAACATTTACAAGCTCACTTTTTGCACCGTTGCAAACGCGCTTTTGTTTGTCATCGACCGTAAACAAGAGAGCAGAACGCACCAACGCTTTTGGAGTGGCGTGTGAAATTTGACATGACACACCTTCGTCTCTCGCATCTGCTTTCATGTGCGCAACTTCATCGTCTTGTTGATAGAGTCCGGATAAGTACACGAATGAACACAGCAGCTTGCATATAGTCTTGTCGACTCGAAGGCATCAATCTACCCACGGTCGCTTTGGTCATACAAGGAAAACCATCTCGTTTGTGAACCTAGCTTCCGTTGTACCAACGCATAGGACAGACGGGAATTTCTACCATGCCAAGCAACCAAGCTGCAACTTTTCATCAACGAAGACGTTTCTCCTTTGCAAAAGCTCAGTCGAAAAATGCACTGCTTCCGAGTTCGCACAATCATGGCAGCTTAGCATGCTCTTGTTACTGTAAAGTCTATGTAGCAAGCAATCATCATGACAAATACACTAGCTTTGCTGCTCCTCAACTATTGTGACGGTGCTTAGCGTGCGTGCGCCACTGAAACTTTTGTGTCAGTGACGCATGCTAAGTTCCGTCAACACTGCACACGGCTGGATAAGGCAATGTTACTCAAAGGTCTGTCAGCCGTCGATGAAGAAGCTTAGCTTCAACCGCTTGTCTCGCCGACGGTCTTTGGGATACTCCCTCTTTTCGGTGACCTCGTTTTTTCTCGAGCTGCACCAGGTGGTTGTGTCACGGCGAGCGTATCCTACATGAGTAGAGAAATCGCGCTGACATACTAGGAAGCGGTATCGTGGGACTTACGTACATTGTCCACATATGCCTGCAACCGCCAGCAATTGCACGCTGTCAGCTTCTTCTATCGACACTATCGGCGGGGCGTCTTTGTGAGCGCTAGCGATGGTTGTAGACCCTTTGTCGCTGTTGGTTCCAGAGTGGTCTTATGAGTCCTGATGCGCTTGGCTACCGGCCCTGGATCTTCATCACATGTTCTACTATCGTAATTGTTCAGCAAGAGGTGCATTCATAGATAAAACTGGTGTACGAGCTTTCACCAAGTTGCCAACTGGTGGAACTATTGCTGCGGCACGATTATTATTTGCAAGTACGAGTTGAGGCGGGAGCTCAGACTGACATCTCACGGACCGTGCGCAAAACTGCTTACGCCTACATATGATAAGCACAAAACGAGCACATCGATCACATGGCGCTGTTTCCAAACGCAGACTGAACAAGAAAGGTCACGAGTGCATGACAAGTAGTGCACACGTCACAACAAATGGGCAAAACCTTTAGACGTGCTGCAATAACTGAGGTAGTGCCGCTACTTTATGCGTATACAGGTGCTTGGCATGCTGGGAGTGGTGTTGAGCTCCGAAGCCGGAGCCACGCCCCGAATCGCTCGAGCCTTAGATACATGAAAAAGTTGGAACTAGCTTGGTTGTGCGCGAAGACCGTGTATGACGGCGTGCATAGGAACACAAGTAGGAGTATACTGACTGGCGAGTAGCGCTTGTTAACCAGGCCAAGGTTGCTACCTCCAACACGTAAGTCAAGCATAAGTTGGGCTTCAGATAATTATATTTGTTTTGTCCCTCTGGACGGTCAAAGGAGTTACCATAAAACCACCGGCAGTCAGCTATCAACTCGAACCCAGTAGCTCATTTGCCACCACGATGTTTGCGGCGCTCATTTATAACAAGAATGAGCAGCATTTCGGCTTCAGATGCTAGATCAAGCGATCTAGAGACGGGCTTGCCAATACCCTCGATGACGCGCTGCTGACTTATGTCGAAGACGTGAGATGACAAATGCGATGGATGTTTTTGACCGTGCGATGAGTGAGGGCCAGCACCCCGACAGGCTGGAACATGTCCAGCACCCCAAGTTCGCTGCAATTTTGGCGGTTTAAGATGTACGGATTGTCATAGTGTAACATCAGAAGCCCTCCACGCAGTTCAAACCTTCCTTGCACACTTGGTGACTTATACGGGGACCCTACATATTACGATCTCGAGCACGATTTGGTGGAATCCATTAGTAGATTGTAACGTCTACCGGACATGATTCACTTTCTGCTGTTGTAAGATCCTTATTTACTGGCATTTTTCTTCCGTGACTCGCGCACTCAGAAAGTGCCTTCCTGGGCATAATCATCCTATCTGCCAATGCAAAGTCTGTTCCAAATGGTACGCTACCACTGTGCTGTGCTATGCATTGCAACGCTGGACTGGTGCCGACGAATGCAATATAGAGTCATAAGCCATATAGCCAGGTCCTGTGTCGCGTTGTCGGCAAACTCGTGTTATACGACGGAACTTCGCGCGATCGCGGCCTTCCTGTCATGCGAACAGACGGCCGCGATCACACGAGTTGTCCCTTCTTTCACGATCGGGCGCTCACAACGTGAGTTTGTGACAACAAAACATGCGTAACACGTGGCGCGATTCGACACGCTCATACGGCAATCTACAGTGCCATAACTGACGACAGTCTCGATTGGAAAGACCTCGCTTTGGCCTACTCATTGGTAATCGAGTGCAGCACTCCAGTCTGCTATCATTGACTCGCAGATTGTATGGCACTCCCTCAATACAAATCCACGATTCATGCTCTTCACATACCACCCACATATCGCAGATAACGCTATCGTGCTGGGCTCGAGAGAGGAGAAGACCGGAGCTATTCCGCAGGGTCATTTTCGTTTTTCAGACCATTCTGGCCAGCAGAACAAGGCACCTCTTGATCAGGTCAGCCGACGCACCAAGGTATCCTAATAACCCATTACTACCGTGACCAGCGCGGGCCTCTCTATCCCAGACTGCTTGTCAACTGCGGTTTAGTTCGCACTGGCTATCGAATGGCTCTTTAGAGTGTACCACGCTACCGGCCATTCCGTTGTTTTTGCTAGAAATTAAATTCACCTCTCAAAGCGATGTAGTTTCAGAGGTCTTTTACGCCGCCGTGCGAGGCGATTTTTTCACATGTCAAGTCGGACGATCGACTTCTGCAGGCTGTCCAGTCCAGCCGTCTGCTCGTTCGTATGAGGATTCCCAGGTGGAAAGTACCACCCCACAAAGTCACACAGTTCTGAAGACCTGACACTGGTCATGCGGCGATTCGTCAACGCGACTTTCGCTTCGATGTCGTTCGTTCGTCGTGCAGACAAAGCAGCGGCACCGTCTATCTAATTTTCTGCATTCCCACCTTCGTCATTACCTCTTGTGCCGTCTCCTGTCCATAGACACAAAAGCTGCACCGACTCCATCATCTCTCCACTGTTGCTATACTACTTCTACTACTACTACTACTACTACTACTTCTGCTGCTAAACAGCGTACCTCCCCTACTTCTCTCTACCGTTGAAGCCGCGGAACTGGAGATGAAGTTCCTCGAACGAGCTGTTGCTGTGGCCATTGCAGTTGCAGGGCGGAACGCTGTTGCTTCAATACTCGACCCTGATGTTGGCGAAGGTTTTAGGTTCCGTGATCGAACCGTTGAAAGTGCGGTCAAGAAACTGGTCCAAGTTTCGAGCCCTACGGAGAGTATACTTCAGGTAGACTCTATCACGGCCATCCAAGAAACGACGGCGGGCAGCATGCACCCGACGAGCGGCGGCTATTTTGCCCCCTTTGGGTTTAATGAGCCACCAGAGGCTTTGTACAGACGGAACGGTAGCCTTGCACGACTAGCTCCGATCATCAACGTCGCTGCGGAAGCTTTGAACCAGCCGATCCCGACGAACAAATGGTGGGGAAACTTGATCCACATCACGGCTCTCAACACGTCCGAGAACTTTCCAGCATGGGCTCAGCCGTACGCATTCATGCTGCCCAGAGTACCGCCATATGGATTGATGGCGTACTACCCCTACACGTATCGTGAGATGGCACCAGAGATCAATGGCACAGTCCAATGGTACTCACACGGGGTCCACAATGACCTGACGTTCTCGGCACTCGGTTTCAACGAAACGCGACCAACGTACGAAGTGTACTCGTGGAGTGATGTGGGTATCAAGCTCCGACTTTGTGATCGTGGAACTACCAACTGCATCGATTCAGCGCTGTTGAGCGGCATGGCCTTCGTGTCGGCCACGTACAACTGTCTTACTCCGCGCATCGACACCGAGCACAACATCACATATGTAGACGAACTGGCACCGGGCAAGTTTGCTATTTACCTGAATAACAATCAGACGTGGATGCTGTATGCCAGTGACACGAGCCTGTCGTTGCGTGTGGAGGACTCGGTGACATTCTCGGTGAACGCGTCGGGATCGTCCCTTGTTGCGGACGATATGTACTCCGGCACGATTCGAGTCGCAGTACTTCCAGAAGGCGCACCAGACACGCTGTACGACGACTACGTGTCGTGTATTGTACGGGGTGGCACTGTGTCGATGGAATCGCGCACTCAGTACTCGCTGCACTGGGATGCTGTAGGCAGTAGTTGCGACACTGTGGGTTTGCTGCACTTTGCGCTACCGCACCACGTAGAGTCAATGATTGACTCTCCGATAACGGCTGAGACACCAGGTGCCATCACGCTCAGATCAACTACGCGAGGTTTGATGGTGGGTCAGGTGTCAATGTGCTGGTCATTTTGCGTGCCCGAGGCAGATATGGAGATCGACTTTTATCCAGCTCAGAAACCGACACCTTTTATGGTTCAGGAAACTGACATGCTTCGCACCCTGCAAGACGACATTCTCGCCAACTGGACTATGGCTACCAATAGTTGGTACTTTAACGGAAAGGCCTTGCAGAAGTACGCGTCGTTGTGTCTGATGGCAGCAGACAGCACGGTAGTCGGCTCAGATACGACGCTGCTGGCGCTTTGTATCGAGAAGCTGGAGAGGTTGTTCGAACCGTTGCTGAACAACACGATGTCGCCCCCACTCGTCTACGAAACGCTGTACGGCGGGGTTGTCTCTGGTTTCATTTTCGACACTGATCAGTTGTACATGGACTTTGGCAGTGGGATCTACAACGACCATCACTACCACTTTGGCTACTACGTGATGTCAGCAGCCATCCTCAAGTACTTGGACCCGACGTGGTATTTGATGCCAGAGCTGGATGATTTGATCTGGATGCTGCTGCGCGACGTGACCAACCCAAGCCTGGATGATCCCGTCTACACTCGATTCCGTCACTTTTCGTGGTTTCACGGCCACTCGTACTCACGTGGCGTGACACTGCTGGACCACGGCAAAGATCAAGAGAGCACGTCTGAAGATCTGAACTTTTACTGCGGCATGACATTGTGGGGCAGAGAGACTGGCCACAAGGTCCTGGAAGACCTCGGCAGTCTGATGCTGCGTCTGAACGCTCATTCGGTCCGCGAGTATTTCCTGCTTTCGACAGGTAACAAGATTCACCCGCCTGAGATCGTGCGAAACCGAGTCACTGGCATTTTCTTTGACAACAAGGTGTACTACAACACGTGGTTCCTGAACGAGAAGTACGCGATCCACGGCATTCAGATGATCCCGTTCTCTCCTGTTAGTCCGTTGGCTCGCACGTCAGCGTTCGTGACAGAGGAGTGGAACGACATTTTGTCCAAGGAGCCGATTGTTACGATGAAAAACAGCAACAACACGTGGTTGTCGGTGTTGCTTGTGAACGCGGCGGTCGTGAACAAGATGGATTCGCTGTACAAGCTGATGAATGCGACTATGGATGACGGTCTGACCCGGTCGTGGGCGCTCTACATGGCTGCTACAGCGGGCTGAGGTAGCCTGCATCGCAATAATTTGGCCTGAGAGGCGCATAGATGGCGCTTGATCCGCTCGGCACAGGAAGTTGCACTACCACGTGGGGGTTATGGTGGGAGCGAGATAGACGCGTTGTAAATTGACATTAGAGCGAAAGCGTGTAAGTTATGCTGAGCGCGCAAGTGAACGAACATGCATTGCATATCCGTCATGTCTCGTTGCCCAGTTTGTAAAGAGGCTCTCTCGATCTTTGTTGCAACGTGCGGTACACGTATTGTGTCACAGGATAACCTCGCTTCGTCTAACGATTGAAATACTTTCGAGTCCGAATGGCAGAGCTGCGGTAAGTGCACGACGTCAGATGAAAGCCACACATCTCGGCAGCTGCTTCTTGTCAGCTAGTCAATTTGACAGTTTGTTTGTTTGTTTGTTTGTCTATCTATCTATCTATCTATCTATCTATCTATCTATCTATCTATCTATCTATCTATCTATCTATCTATCTCCACTATCTATCTATCTATCTATCTCGTGTTCTATCTATCTTTCGTTCAAATTTCTGCTGAATACACAAATCTCTGTTACAAGAGGCATTTACGTGGGAGTTAGCGATATCTGTAAATAATTATTATTGTCATAGTAAAAAGAAATATGGTAAAAAAGTTTAGGAAACCATTACAAAATCTTTACATAAGAATAAATGAAAGGGAATATTTGCGTCGAGGAAAAAAAGATATTTCATTCTCGAAAAGACCATTTTTTGGAAATTGATATTGATTATCAATCAAAGCTTTTTAAAAGTGCCAGGTTCACAGTTGTAAGACGAACGACAAGCCTTCTCCGCGTCTGCCCTAAAGAAAAGGGCTGGCGAACCTACGTAAACGAGGGACATCCAGCATCCATCGGCTCGAGTGTATCATCCAAGCGACCAAATAACCACTGGTCTTCGTAGCATTCCTCCGCTTGCGGCTTGCATCGCTGAGCGGAAATTCGAAGGCAAGTCACGCGGGTTGACATCGTCACATGCAGATGTGGCTTCTTTCGAATATCCTAGCGCTACGCGAAGCTGCGCCAAATCCGGGAGGGGCGGCTCAGTCCGGTCGATTAGCGGCCGAGGAAAGTAGCCGGGCAGTGGAGGTAGCACCGGTACCCGAACCTCAGCAATATATGTATCTGTTTCTGATTGCGTTGATAAATTTAAATCGGGTAATTACAACAAGAGGCGTAGCTCTCGATCGTACAAGAACTCCTTCCCTCTGAGTATGAGAAAATGTCGATCAAAGAGACAATGTTTCCGGCCTCGAAAAACAACGCTTTCCAAGGCTATAATATGTTGAGAATTCAGGTCTGCTACGCCAATTTAAGCAGGTATGCGTTCAAAGCACCACTACACTCGAAGTTGGTAACGTCTCCATCGACTAAGTGAGCGTTCGTGTCGATTGTTTGTACGCGGTACAGTCACCCTGAATGGGTCATGGCTCCTTTTCGATACATGTAGGCGCAAGTTGTGCGATAGGACAAAACAGCACCTGTGGCAGGACAAATGCTGTGATATGGTCGCAAAATGAAGATTTCATGTTTGACCCGACCGAATTGTCGACGAGTCCTGCAGCGCAACTCATTATGGTACTTGAGGATCGTACAAAAATTGGTCGTAATCCTAACTTACGCGAAGACACTAGTGACGAGTAGAAAACTATTGTCGGGTTCGCTGAAGGTCAATTAGAGTGCAGGCGCATGCCTAAAATTCATCAAGCGGTGTTGGACAGTTAGTAGAGTCTTCACATATAAGTACTAGTAAAGCCCGGCCAAATATTAACTGGCTCTTCACCTCGGCAAAAACCGGGATTTCTCAATCGCCACCAGTCTACACGTTCATTAATTGAAAATATTTTTGACTTGGCGACTTTACAATATGGCGGAGCCTCACCGATATTACCAAGTCCATATATTTGACGAATACAATTAATCAAAATGAAACTACAAAGGCCATCGTTTTCGTCAACTTTTTTTGGTACACGGCATCGTGACGAATCGACGATAAGCCCCTTTTACAGGTCGTATCTACACGCTATCAGCACACACCATCTCGAAGGAGGGTCTTTCTGGAAATAACAGTGAAATACCGACTGGTACGACAAGGAAGCAGCGATCGGGTACACAATTCTTGTATGCAAAAATCAACAAATTGAACGAAGTTGGACGCATCGCGGCACAGGTCAAGTAAAAGAACTATACAGATTCTTGTTTGAAGATCTGGACACGATATACCTCACGTCACGCCATCTACGTTATGTAGAGACGCAATTTAGATGAATGATTGACCTACATTCCTGCAAGGCATGGTAAGGACCCAATAGTTAAAAAAAACCAATAATTTTAACGGTAAGGCGGCGCCGGCGGCTACATAGCCTTTAATGTAAAGGTTTCAGATATACCGCTGCTCGGTGTGAGTATATTGACGATCACTTCAAAGGGTCAGTGGGGATAGAGGCCATGGAAAGCGATCTACAAGCAATTATGCATTTGGCCAAGCCATTCAGCGGTGTAAAGTAAACGCATTGGATGGAGGAATAGAATTTAACACTATAGCAAGTATACGTGGATGCATGGCAAATATCTTTCACACCCAGCCAGGCGGCGCATGTTTCTACAAACGAACCTGAATGCCCCCGTTTTGGTGCTTCAAACAGGACATCTTCAATCTACACCGCTGTCATTAGAGCTAAAATACGATGCTTGCACCCGAGCCGATTATCGAGCAAACATGGATCACAAACCAATTTGCGGATCTCATAATTCCCGGTCGGGACAAATCTCACCGTGTGACCCCAGCGCATTTATACCAGGCCTGATGATTTTGCGGAAAATCTTATAATAGATTCGGATATCCATAATCTAAGATGTATATGGTCCATAAACTAAGATCTTTCTCAAATTACTGTAAAACAACGCAAAACCGTGATTTTGTGCAGCCAAATTACTCCGATGGCGCCCAAGACGACGCTGTTCCAGGAGAAGCATGCGCTGGAGTTCGAACTCGAGCCCATCAAGACGCATAAGGGTGGCGCGCAAACTGTTTGATGCCTGTTCTGCATCTATGACAGGCGTAGCAAGGATGAGGTTGAAAGCTCAACTGGTCGGAAGCGTAAGTCGGGCGTTGAAATCAAATACTACACGAAACCGTCAGCGCCGCAGAACTGTCGAAGTCACTACACGACGCAGCATGGCAAGGCCTGGGCAGCGTACAGCGAGCTTTGTAACGCGGAGAAGCGCGAATACTTCACTAGGAAGTACGTCACCACTTTAAAGAATGTGATTCGTTTTAAACTCGCATTGAACCACGTGGGAAGCTGTAACGGGGCACACCCTTGCGTGAACTTAACGCAAGGGTATCGGTGCCCCGACAGACGTACACGAGGCAAGCGAGGAAGAGTAGGTAAGGAAAAAGCAGAACTGTTATATTAATATAATTAAGTATTTAACCACTGTCTCTCTGTTTGACTTAACTTAATTATGCTAATATAACTGAGTGTATGACGACGTCTCGTCACCACTCATTGCGCGCGTCTTGCGACAATTGGTGGGTTGATATCATCAAGATATCAACCAATGAGCAGACTCTTTGGTCGCTTCACCAATATCACCACTATTGGTGATATTGTTAAAAGAATATTCAACATAATATTATTTATTGTCATTATCCCTCAAATGACAATTTCCATGTAACGGGCTGCCCCGTTACATCACCCCCCCTTAACTGATAATCACTGTAGGACTATCGAAAACTTGGCGGCCACCCGTTGGGCGCCATTGGGACAGGGAGCACTTGTTGGGTCCGTTCCATTCACTTTCCGCTTGACCTCGCATAGTTAACATGTCTATGCGAGTTGACTCAAGACCCGCACATCCCGGTGCTGTGCCAGCCTCCGCGGCAGACGATTCTTCGTCTGCTGCTCCTTCTCCGCTTGCAGCAAGAGGTGCTGCAGGTGCACGCGGCACCTCGCCGCGTGCGCATGATGACCCCGACGTTGAAGTCATCTATTCTGGCGAGCCAGACGTGTCTGACTCGGGCAATGGTCCAGAGGCGTCTCGATCACCGGCGACGCCTCAGTATTCGCCAAGGCCACTGCCGAACGAACAGACTCGTGATTTGCATCACAGTCTATTCGGCAGTGATGATGATGATCGGGGTGGTGAGAGTATTACTCCTTACCACCGCCGACTCGAGCCTCTTCGCACAAGCGTGATGACAATGGCGTGAGCCGTCGTCAATCTGGGAGCCGTGGTACCAAAAAAGGTACCACCGTGAAGCGTGATGAGCTGAAGCCGTGGCGTTTGCCCGAACGGCTCATCAATGGCTTGTCTCACGAGACAGGCCAACACCATTGAATACCCTTATTCGATGCGACTGAGTTTCACGGCTTGAATACCAGCGCGAGCAACTTTCACGCTGAGGAAGACTTTTATCTCGATGTCTTCCTTAGACATCGATGGTACAATGGCAACCAAAAGCGTGACAAAGCCTCGCCTTTGGCTGCGTGGAACGCGTTCGTCCAAAACGTAAAGAATTTTGGACAAGAAGGGTGGCTCAAGAAAATTGAGGCGACACGCCTCAGGTTCGAAAAGCGAACGCCAACCGGTGCCAGGTAACGGTTGCACTGTTTGTCGAGTGAGGCAGACATTCCTTGCCTCACATGGAGAGACCCTTGTGCAAGTTGTGTTGACAACTCGCAGCGTGCACATAGGGATGTGTACTCCCTAAGTTCGCCCTGGGGAAGGGCACACATCTCGGCTGAGATGCGTGACGCGATTGCAAACTTGCAATCCGTTTACAAGCGCCAAAAGCGCGTGTTTACCGATGGGCCACAGGGCCAATCGGATGGGTCTCGTCATACTGGCGGACGAGACCTTCAACATCCATCAACAGCTGAGAGCGGGGCTCCCAGCTGTTCCAAGAGGGAGGATACCCCCGCCACTGGACGAGGTAGCTCGTCCTTGATCCTGAATAGTCACGG